CCATATTCTTCAGCACACCTGAGACCCCACATGAACTTCGGGCAGAACCACATACAAATGGCAGAAGGCATGGTTGACCAATGATCCTCCCCACTCCCTCTTCCTATGAGAAAATATCAAAGGCACCCCAATGGGCAGTGACAGCTCCTGCAAGCAGGCCCAGCTGATCTGACAGAGATGGTGACTGTCCTCCTCTGCAGCAGCTACTCAGAGGGGAGGTGGAGTCTAAGGCAGCCTCACTCTCCTTCCTGCATTTGGTGCCTGAGAAGGAATCGGCTTGTCGTACCACCCTGGGCGGTCACTGTGTTCCGGACACTACCTTGTTTCAGGCCTAGAGAAGGGTCTTGTTTGGGCGCGCTGGGAGCAGGTGGCTGCGGAGGGCCCCTGCAGTCTCTTATAATATCTGCTCTGTAGCCCTGCTTAGAGGGGAAACGCCTGTTCTGGTGGTGGGACACACAGTTCTCAGGTGTCTCCCTCAGCAGCCCTGCCTGTCACTTTGGGCTGTTGGAGCCAGAGGCTGAACCCAGCAGCTCTAACGGGTAGGCTCCGGCTATCCATCTTTAATGAGCCTGTTGAACAGAGACATAATAGTGAAAAACAGAGAAAGGATTTCTTCACTGTGGTCACTCCTGGAAGAAGAACAAATAGAGAGGCCCAGTGACCTTTAGATGGGTTTTTCATTGGGACTGTCGGCTCCCCAATAATAACACAGAGACTGATTATTAATTATGAAAGCTCAGCTTAGCATAGGCTTGTTTCTAACCAGCTCTTATAACTTAAATCAAAGCATTTCTATTAATTTACTTTCTGCCTCATGGTTTCATTACCTCATCTCCATGTTGTCCGTCCTGCTTGCTCTGCATATCCACCTTCTTCCGAGCATCCTCTCTCCTGCCTAGCTATTGGCTGTTTAGCTTTTTATTAAACCAATCAGAGTGACGCATTTCGTGGCGTACAAAAAGATTATTCCACAACAATGACCATCCCTCCCAGCCCATCTTTGGAGCCTTGACATGAGGTTTGGGTTTAAGTAGAAGGCAAGAGGTCTGTGTAGCGAAGCTGTCTTGACTGAGTCTGGACCGAGTCTGGTCCCACACATTGCTCACCCATCACTGTCTGGGTTCTAGACGCTCCTGCAAGGTGGTTTGACAACTTGTCAGAACTGCGACGTCTGTTCCTGGGAGACAAGTTCCCCCTTTTATTGGCACCAGGCTTCGGTCTTCTCCTTCTAGCATGAGGCTCCTGGGAAAATTCTAATTTCTTGAAGACCATCATTTCATTAGTCAAAGGGAGGGGTACAAGTGTCTCTCTTTTTTAAAATTTAGTGTTTTCATTTTTGATATTATGATATAATCACATCTTTTCCCCCTCTCCTTTTCTCCCTCCAAACCTCTCATAGATCCATCCTTGCTCCCTTTCAAATTCATGACCTCTTTTTTTCATTGTTTATACATATGTATATACATGTATATTCCTAAATATATAAAACCAACCTGGTCGGTCTATATAATGTGACTGGTGTATATGCCTTCAGGCTTGACCATTGGCATTGAATAACCATAACCAGTTGGTGTGCCAGTCCCTGGGGAAGACCATTTCCCCCGCCCTCAGCATCCTCAGTTGCCTGTATAGTAGTTCTCTGCATAGGGTTCAGGCCTCATGGGCTCCCTGCCCAAGACATCCTGTTAGAATGTCTTCATTCCTGCCACGGAGAATATGCTGTTGCCCCAGAAGCCAGGAGTTCCAGGGTGTCTTGTTTGCCTGGCACTCCGCAGGACCATGTCTGCTCCTCCTCACTGGCCTGTAGCCCCTTTCTGTGAGTCCTGAGGCCCCTTCTCCTTCCGGGTCAGGGTGGTGTCTCCTCCCAGGGGCTGAAAACTGAGAGGAGATTACTGTCCTCAGATGCTGCCACTATTGCTGTGTTGGTCACAGGTTTGGGCATGTGGGTTGTGCCAGGCTAAGAGCCGAGTCTGGTTGGAAGCATCTATAATGGCGCAGGGTGCTGCCATCTCTGAACACTTAATAGCTTGGGGGCCTTCTCTAGTCACCCTCACCAGCTTTGCATCTCAGGGGGACCTCAGTACTCAGAAAGAAGCAATCTCCCCCAACCAGGGTGTGAAGCAGTTTTAGCGACAGCAGCCTCAGGGACACTCCTTTGGTGGGCTCATTGGTGTGAAAGCTAACTAGATATTGAACAGCCATAATGAAGGATCCCAACTGCTCCTCTCTAGCCCCTCCGTCACTCAGTTCTCAAAGTGACCCTTTACAATGGCACAGAGAAGTTTAGTGTCCTTCCTAAAGCCACAGAGTTCATGCATGGTAGAATTTGCACCCAGGTAGGGACTCACTCATCATGACTGAAGCAAGCATTCCATGGGATCACACACACACACACACACACACACACACACACACACACACACACTGTAAATATACCATATTAGCCAGATGGTGCACACTAATCATCCCAGCACGGTAGAGTAGAAGTTCAAGGTCATCCTCCATACAAAGCCAACCTAGGCTAGGGGAGATTCTCTCTTTCTCTCTCTCAAAAAAAAAAAAAAAAAAAAAAAAAAAAAAAAAACCAAACCATAAAACCCCTGATAACAAGACTGGGAACATAGCTCACTGGTAGAATGCAGGCTTAGCATGCATGAGACAAGGCCTTGAACTTTTGTTGTTTCTCCTGGTTCTGCCTACTGAGTGCTGGGATTATAGGTGTGCAACCATGCCTGACTCATTTTAACCTTGTGTATTCCTTTTTCCTTTTCTTTCATTCTTTATTTAAACTTTCCCCATTTATTGTGTGTATGCCTGTGACATGTATGCGGGAGCTGATTCTCTCTTCCATGGAGGTTTTGGGAATAAAACTCGGACTGTCAGTCTTGTTGGGAAGTGCCTTTACCTGCCAAACTATTCTTTCTTTCTTCTTTAAAACAGATTTCAGTAAATTCATGTGTGTGTGCAGGTGTCCTCAGGGCAAGAAGAGACCACTGGAGGCAGTTGCCAGTCACCCAGTGTGGGGACTGGGAACCTGATTCAGGATTCAGATCCTCTTGAAAGCACTGACCACTCTTAGCCACTGAGCTGTTTCCTCAAACAAAAAAAAACTCCATTTTTGCTTTCTTATATTTTTTTAGATTATTAAATTTTATTTTATGTATATTAATATTTTGCCTGCATGCTTGTCTATGCGCCTCAGGCCAATACGTCAAACAGCATCAGATCCCCTGGAACTGGAAGTGTAGATGACTGTGAGTTGCCATGTGGGTGCTGGGAATTGAACCCGGGTCCTCTGTAAGACTAGCAGGTGCTCTTAACTGCTGAGCCATTTCTTCAGCCCTCCTCTCACTTTTCTGATGGAGTCTATTAAAGCCACAAAGCCTCAAGTAAAATCCAGTTCTCTTTTTATTTTGACACCACAACTAGGGAAGTGTTGCCTAGCTCAAGGTCACAAGTTTGTTTGTTTTTCTGAGACGTGGTTTCTTTGTGTAGCTTGGAGACCAGTCTGGCACTTGTTCTGTAGACCAGGCTGGCCTTGAACTCACAGAGATCCACCTGCTTCTGCCTCCTAAGTACTGGGATTAAATGTGTGGGCCACCACCACCCAGCATGGTCACAAGTTTATTCCTGCCATTTTTGTTGTGTGATTCTGGGGTCAGAATCCAGGGCCAACCACATCCCCTCCATCAGTGAACTAAGTTCCCAGCCTGAAATTTGTCTTAATATATGGAGCTTGTATCCTGTGACCTTACCAAACTTAATTATTAGTGTGTTAATACTGTGTGTGTGAGAGCGTGTGTGTAAATGAGTGTGTGTGTGTGTGTGTGTGTGAGAGAGAGAGATTTCAAGGCTTCTTTTATGTAAGATAATGTAGTCTATAAATAGAAATAGCTTCACGACCTTTCAGACTGAGTTTCTGACCCCAGCCTGAACTTTGGTTTTAAATAGAACTGAGGAGAACTCACACCTGAGTCTTATTTCTGACTTGCTGGGCAGAGTATTCAGTCTTTCACCCTTGAGTATGAAGTTAGCTATGGGTTTTTCCTCCTTGGCTGGCAGTTTATTGGTGGTGTTATTATCATTTTTTGTTGTTGTTGATGTTTTTTTGATCTTTGATTTTTGTTATTTTTTTTTAATCAGGAAGGGGTGTTGCGTTTTATCAGGATCTCTCTTTCTCTGTCTCTGTGTCGCTATCTCTTTCTCTCCCACCTGCAGGGCAGTTGTGTAACTTGGTTTGACACTCAGCACTTAGTTCTCATCCACATCGATTGCAGGCTTTTGTCGTGGTAGTGGGGTCATAGGTCACCAAATTACAGCTCTTGTTTGGAGAACCCTCACTCTCATTCCTTTTTCTGGACAAACATACACACATTTCTTCTTAATGCGTGTGTCTGGAGTCCCATGTCCTAAATCAAATTCCAGGCTTCTCTGGTTGCCTGAGGATCATGTTTCCTAAAGCCAGCCTGTGGGTGCTCACTTAAGTGTTGGTAGTGTCTTCCCAGGAACGCCTTGTGGATGGCAGAACAGCCTTCATTTTTCTGAAAACCCATCTTTGTGTGGGAGCCATTCCGCCTGGCCCAAGTTAGAAAGGCTCAGGTACCTTTTCTGAGAAATAGAATTTTTTTTTCCTTTTAGTGCTGAGCTAGGAACTAGGTCTAGTAGCTCAGGCTGTCATCACTGCCCGAGAAGGCTGTGAGACTGCTTTTGACTGCAGAGTGAGTTCAAGGACAAGCTGATCAACTTAGGGAGACCCTGCCTCAGAAAGGAAAGAGCTCTGGGGATGTAGCTCAGTGTTAGAGTGCTGGCCCTGTTCGGTTCAATCCCTAAAGTCACATAAACAAACAAACAAACAAATAAATAAACAAACAAACAAACTGTCCTGATGGGGCCTCTGTGTATCACTGCTCTGAAAAGGAGCAAAGAGGTGCATGTTATCACTGTGACTGGGCGCTTCTGTCTAGGGACGGAGCGCGAACTCACTGTCTCTCTGTCCACAGGCCTATGAGAAGCGCTTCCCCACCTGCCCGCTCATCCCTGTTTTCCTGGGTAGTGAAATCCTGGGCGAGTGGAGAAGCGCAGATGGGGCTGTGCACACAGTGGAGCGGAGCTGCCGACTGCGTGTGGATGCCCCGCGGCTGCTGCGGAAGGTGGGCCCGGGGCTGGGGTCTAGGTGTGCGGGCTGTGAAATAGGTCTATTTGCGGTGGAATGGGGACGTTGGAGCCTTGAGATCTTGGGAGGTGTAGCAGCGGGAGATCCCAGGCGTAGGGTCTGGGAACCAGAGGTAGGTGAGGATCCTCGGATGTAGAATGAGGTGTACAGGTTTCAGGGTTTGGGCCACAGCTTGATGGTGGAGGTGGCTGGGTGATAGTGCTGTATCTGGGATTGGAGAGAGGGACAGGCCAGACTGTCTGGTGGCAAAGGACCACACAGGCGCGGTGCGTGGGTGGGGGAACTCTTGGCTTGATGGTGGTGGCAGTCTTAAGACTTGAGGGTCTTCAGGGTGGGAGTTATTTGAGAAAGGCTGAAAGTCTGCCCAAGGGCCCCGAATTCTGTGTTGGGCATGGACTGAGCCAGTGTGGATGGTTATTTGAGAAAGGCTGAAAGTCTGTACAAGGGCCCCGAATTCTGTGTTGGGTGTGGCCTAAGCCAGTGTGGATGGTAGCAAGAGCAGGAGTCATCCCACCCCAGGGTGGGTGTCTGTTTCTAGACTGGGGATGACACAGGCCAGGCTAGAGGATGGAACTTGAATTTCCACCTGAGGGATGACCCAGGCTGTGTGGGAGCAGGAGTGTGAATCAGAACGGGTGGCCTAAGGGCTAGCGCCTCTTCCTTGGGCTCTCCCTTCTCAGATTGCTGGTGTGGAACACGTGATCTTCGTGCAGAGAAACGTGCTGAACTGGAGAGAGAGAACCCTGCTGATTGATGCCCACAATGAAACCTTTGCCAGCCGAGTGACGGTGAAGGAAAACTGCCGCTACACAGTGAGTTCACCTGGCTGACCAGGGACCCTGATGCTGCCCCAGGGCTGGGCCCTGTGTGTCCCTCTGGTCTTCCCTCCCCACATTCTCCTGGCCCCTCGTGGGTGGGTTTTATTCCCCTCTCCTTTTTTAAGACCGAACGTCACTATGTAGCCCAGGCTAGCCTGGAAATTTGCCCTTCTCCTGACTCAGGCTCCTGAGTGCTAGGATTATAGGTGAGTGTCATCATACCCAGCGAAGATTTCTTTTAATTGCTAACATATATAAATATATTAACCTTTTAGGGATATTTAAAGTCTTTGTATATAAATATATGACATAATAACTATCGAAATACATCTAAACACATATTGATAATTTGTATCATATAAGTGATTAAGTGATCTGAACATTACACATACACCATTTTATCTCTCTTTGTGTATGTGATTTCTTTCTTTCTTTCTTTTTTTTTTTTTTTTGAGACAGGGTCTCTTTACATAGCCCTGGCTGTCCTGGAACTCACTATGTAGATATACCAGGCTAGCCTGGAACTTGTAATTCTCTTTCCTCGGCCTCCTAGCTGGGATTATAGGTGTGCACCACCATGCCCAGCTTGAGAAAGGGCTCTTTGCTCCCCACACGTAGACTTTGAATCATCGTCTGGGTGGGGAACGCTGTCCATGGCAGGCTCTGGTGGCCACAAGAGAAAGAGAACCTAGCACCCAGTACTGAGGCCCTGCCGTGGCCCCTTCCCATCTGCAGGTCCATCCTGAGAATGAAGACTGGACTTGCTTCGAGCAGTCCGCCTCCCTAGATGTCCGGTCCTTCTTCGGCTTTGAAACCACCTTGGAGAAGATCGCCATGAAGCAGTACACGGCCAACGTCAAGAGGGTGAGTGACGCTGTGCTAGCCACACCAGGACGGTGTACAGGCCTGCTCTGCCACCAACGGCTCCTGGGGCACTGGACAGCAGCCCTGGCTTCTTATTTCTGAAATGAACACTGGGGTCATGACCACACCAGTGAGGTCACAAGTGGGAAGAACTGGCTTGTTCTGGAGGTGTCCTGATGCAGTCCCAGAACTGCTCCAAGGTGCTGCAGCAAGTTCAAGACTAGCCTAGGAACTTAGTGATATAAACAGCCGGAGGCACAGCTCAGTATGGAGCACTTGCCTAACATATGTGAGGCCCTGGTTTCGATCCCCAGAACCAGGTCATGGGAAGAAAAGTCTCACTGAGGCCAGAGTCAGGATTTAGTGATGCAAACTCTGCCTAAAGTCTGCCAGTGAGGGGCTGAGGGTGTGGCTTAATGGTAGAGTGACTGCCTGGAATCCTCCAGTGAGGGATTGCAGGTGTAGTTGGGTGGAAGAGTGCCTGCCTAGCCTGTGGGAGACCTTGGGTTTCACTCCCAACACTACGAAGTCACTGTTTCAATGGCTGTAGACTCCAGGTCAGAGAGTGGCCTGTTTACCAGGTGGACAGTTTTCTTCTGGTGATACACATTACCAACATAAACTGAGCTATTTGCATTTGTCCTGTGTTTAGTCTTGCTCATCTCCACTCCTCTTGGCCCTGCTTTAGCTGTGCAATAGCCATATGTCAGGACTGGGACCTGAGAATGTATGGTCAGAGCGTGTACCTCAGAGCCAGTGTGGTGACCTCGCAGCGCTGCTTGCCTGGTGACATCTTTGGGTCTGTTGCTTCCAGGGGAAGGAGGTGATTGAGCACTACCTGAGTGAGCTCATTTCCCAGGGAACATCTCACATCCCCCGCTGGACACCTGCCCCAGTCCGGGAGGAAGATGCCCGCAGCCAGGCTGTGCACCAGTGTCCCAGCTCCATGGTGGCAGATGACCCCAGTGATGCCCCAGGCCCCGATCCTGAGATGGCCACAGCGGATGGTAGGTGACTCCAAGTCCGTGCCCTCACCTGTGGCTCTAGGAAGCCGGCCACACTGCCTGGCTCCCCGAGAAGAGGAAAAGGTGCTGTAGGTTGCCAGGGTTGGAAACAGTCTGGCACCCACTCAGCCTCCTCCCTTGCTTCTCAGAGTCGATCTATTTCTAGACCAGGAACTGACCTCTGGTGATTTGAGGATATTTTTAATTGCATGAGTAATGCAAGATCATGGTAGCAAAATATCTAAACGAACTGGAAGATGAATAGTGAGAAGTCAGGGCTGCAGAAGTGGTTCAGTCAATAAAGTGCTTGCCTTGCATGAATTGCATCTCCCAGACCCCACTAAAAAAGCCACCAGGCACGGTGTGCCCACTCATGATCTTACCGCTGGAGACGTGCCAGCCAAGACGAAATGGTCCTATCTAGAGAGGCCTACACCAGTGAGAGATTCTCCCTCAAACAAAGCCAAGGGAGGTGATACCCGAGGAACCATACCTGAGATTGGCCTCCACATACATATTCATATATATACATGCATCCGTTATTCACACATGCACATACAGACACACGCAAAAGAAAAGGATGATGATTCGTTCCCTCTCCCTGGAGTCTTCAGTAGTTCTGCATATGGCACATGAGGGCACACGCCTCCACACGCATGTGTACATGCATATTCACACTTAGAAAATATGGAACGGGTGGGAGGATGCCAGGCATCCTTTTGTACTTTGCTGGCCCTCACTAAGCTGTTAGCATACACACCCTAACACCTCATCGTACCGTATGAATGCTCTATGCCTTACTAACGTTGGCTTGTTATTATCATTATTGTTTGAGACAGGAGCTGGTCCTGAATTTGGTACGCAGCCAAGGATGACCTTGAACTTACAAGCATGGTGCAGGCTATTTTAGTCTACTTTAGAACTTACTGCAAATCATATGGTATATGAAATCATATTGTGTGTGTGGACCACAGTTCATATGTAGAGGCCAGAGGACAATTTGTGGGAGTTAGTTCTCTCCTTCCACCATATGGGTTTTGGGCATCGAACTCAGGTCAGCTGATTTGGTAGCAAATGCCTTTACCTAATGAGTCATCTCACCAACCCCCTAGTTCTTTGTTTTAAAACAGGGTCTCAAATAGCCCAGGCTGGCCCTAAATTTGCTGTGGAGTTGAGGATGTCCACGAACTCCCCTGAACCCCCTTCCTTCTCCTCTCTAGTGTTGGGATTTCAGGTGTATATTACTATGCCTGTCTTAGGTGTGTATGTGTGTAGGTGTGTATATGTGCACACATGTGTGTTTTAATTACAAGTAATGTGACATACTTTGTACTCAAGGAATGAAAAATATATGTACTATATACATAGTACAACGTCATTTTATTTTATTTTAATTTTTAGAGACAGGGTCTTATCATGTGTTTCTGGCTGACCTGAAACTTGCTATGTAGACCAGCTGGCCTCAGACCCATAGAGATCAACTTGCCTCTGCCTCCTGAGTATAGACCTAGTACCATGCCTGGCTTTATGTATTTGATTTTGAGGTAAATTTATTTTGAGATATTATCTCATGTATCTCAGACAGATTGTTAGTTCTCAACCCTCTTGTCTCTACCTCACAAGTGCTGAATTTATAGGGGTGCACCACCATGTCTAGGGACAAGTCAGTCTTTACTGGTATAGAAAGTGCTCATAATACGATGTTAAAAACAAATGTAAAGACTGGGGTGTCAACAGTCAGAACCTCAGCTCAGAGAGCGAGAATCACCTCCACACCGAGACGGAGGGGGGAATCCCTGCCCGTGGTAACGTCCAGGTTTCAAAACTATCTAGATAACCATTTAGAGAGATGATTTTGGAGCTCTTATGGCTGTCTCCACAGCCTGGCTAAGAACCACACTTCAGAGCTCAGGCAGCTGCCAAGCAGAGAGGGCCACAGAGTGTAGGCCATGTGGTAAAGACCCAACGCCACCAGACGTGCTTGCTAGTTTTATGTCAGCTTGACACAGCCAGGATCACCTGAAAGGATCTGGCTGTTGGGAATTTTTTTAAATTAGTGATTGATAGGGGAGGGCCCTTAGTGATTGATGGGAGAGGGTAGCCCATTGTGGGCGGGGCCACCCCAGTCTGATGGTCCTTAGTTTTATGAGAAAGCAGGCTCAGCAAGCCAGGATAAGCAATATCCAGCCAGTAAGCAGCTCCCTTCCGTGGCCTCTGCACCATCTTCTGCCTCTATGCTCCTGCCTTGTTTGAATTCTCCTTACTTACTTCTACGGTGAACAGTGGCACGGAAGTGTAAGCCAAACAAACCCTGTCCTCCCCACGTTGCTTTGGTCACAGAGCAGTAGGAACCCTAATGAAGATGCCAGATTCGGTGACACAAACCTGTAACCTAGCACTTGGGAGGTGTGGGTGAAAAGATCAGGAGCTCAAAGATAGCCTCTGTTATATAGTGCATTTGAATCTAGCCTGGAGCACGTGAGACCCTGTCTCAAAACAAAAACAAAAACAAACAAAAATAAAAAACAAGGAAAAGAGAGAGAGATGGAGGGTGGTCTCTTACTTCTCCTGCCCTGAAATCCCCATTTTCCTTTCTTCAGGGCACAAGCTGGATGCAGACTACATAGAGAGGTGCCTGGGGCACCTCACTCCTATGCAGGAGAGTTGCCTGATCCAGCTCCGGCGCTGGTTACAGGAGACTCACAAAGGCAAGGTGGGTATGGGACATGCACTTTAGTGACAGGAGTCGGCCTAGGACTTGGGGAAGAAAGAAAAAAAAAAGCTTATGCTATCAGTGATCCTAAAGATTTATGTTTTGATTCATTTGATCACATCTGTCCTGTCAGTCCTTTACACACACTGACGCCACCACCCTCCTGCTTGTGATATTTGGGGTCAGGAAGTTCTTTGGTGTCGGTGTTTATTATGTGTATTGCAGGATGCCTGGTAACACCCCTAGTCTCCAGGCAGTAGATACCAGTTCCTTGCCCCATGCAGGTATGACAATTTGAAATGGCCCTTGGCATGGGCATATGTCCCCTGGGGACGTGTGTGTGTGTGTGTGTGTGTGTGTGTGTGTACATGCACAATCAGGTGCAATTGAGGACCATAGCTATATAGTACCATGCTCATTTGACTGTGGACTCTGCCCTTTTCTAAGAGTCAAAGGACTTAATAAGGGTGATTGTTGATTGTCTAGCTTTTGCCTTTAAGCTCTAGCTCCAGTAACATGAATGTGCACCACATACCTCAGTCCCAAGTAGGACTCTGTCGTCAGCTCTACTGAATCAGAACTTCTTGCTTAGCACGGATCGCCTACCTTTCCCTCCCCAGCCCTGGGGCTAGACAAGAGAGTTGCTCAGTGTGGGCCTATGGTATAACCTGTCTGCAAATGTAAAATGGGGACATTGTTCATATCATGTGGGTCACAAACACTGATCCACATTAAATGCTTAGGGCAGAATCTGGCTCAAAGGAAGAACCCCAGAAAAGACAGCTTGTACTAGGATTGGTTTTGCACCGATGTTATAATGGGAAAGGAAGAGGAGTAGAAGGGGGGCGGGAGAGAAGGGGGTGGAAGAGGAGTTAGCCCAAGGAAAGATGCTATTTCCAAGACAAACAGGGAGGGATGCTAGGCAGCCACAGTGTGCAGCTGTTCACCACAGCCCCTCCGCCTACCATTTCTCTTTGCTTTGGGCTATTTTCCCCAGCTGTTTTGCAGATGAGGTAAGAGGGTCATTTCTGCCGCTTCATCTGAAGGGTTGGAAGTACCGTTCTGTGGTCTTATCCCTTCTCTGTCTCTCAGATCCCCAAAGATGAGCACATCCTGCGCTTCCTGCGGGCACGAGACTTCCACCTGGACAAGGCCCGGGACATGTTGTGCCAGTCCCTGAGCTGGCGGAAGCAGCACCAGGTGGATCTCCTTCTGCAGACCTGGCAGCCCCCTGCTCCCCTGCAGGAGTTCTATGCCGGAGGTTGGCACTACCAGGACATAGGTGTGTCGCACATCTGAGCTGTGTGTGAGCACCGAGGACACTCTACATGATACACCCCATGCTGACACCTCATGTTTCCTTTTAGATTTCTGGGGCATCTGGAGATAATTGTGACATGTTACCCGGCTATGCAGAAGGTGGAATAGCATAGATTTTTGTCTTGGGAAGATGTTTCTGCCCTAGGGCCATTGCAAATCACACTCTTGTTAATATAGTATAGATTGACATAAGCAGCCAAAGCAAACTGGTACTGAACACCCGGTGCCAGCTCTGGAGGCTGGAGTATGAGATCAGAAGACAGCGGGCCTAGAGATCCTGTCATTCTTAAATAAGCAAATAAACAAACGGAGTCAAGAAGCTCTAGGGGAGAGGCCTACCCCTCCCCTTTCGGCATTTGATAGCCCCTGAGTTCGTGGCTGCATCGTTCTTAATTTCTGCTCCCACTTGTCATGGCCTTCCCTGTGGGTATCTCTGCATGTCCCTTCACCACCTCACAGGAGCCCTGGGTCCTTTAGAACCCACCCCACATCCATCCTGATGTCATCTTGAGATCCTTAATTGACATCTGCAGCTCCGTTTACAACTTAGGTCCCATCTGAAGGTTCTGGTAGACATAAGTTCTTGGAGGACACTATTCTTCCTACTGTAGGTACCCTTTCCATATTTAAAAAGTATAGATCCCTGAAGCCAGTGACTGCTGTGTTCTTTAAGGTCTTTCATGAAAAATGGTGTATGTGCTGATAATGGCAAACGCTTGGTTCTCCTGAAGAACAGGCTGGGGTGGTTTCTTAACACGTAGTTGACTCCTTATTCATGGCTTCCATATTTGTGAACTCTTCCTACTGGCTATTTTGAAATTCCCCAAACTAGTAGTTTGTTCCAGGATATGGTCAGAATGGTAAACATTTCCAGTGCTCTGAGGGGCTGGGGAGATGGCTCAGTCAGCAAAGTCCTGGCTGTGCAAGATGAGGTCCTGACGATCCCCAGCACCCACTAGAGACCTAGGTGTAGTCACATGTGCTTGTAGTCTCAGGGACGTGGAGACAGGAGGCTGTCTGTGGCTCACTGTGGAGATAGGGCTATCTGAGACTCACTGGCCATTCTAGGCAAACTGGTGAGTTCTAGGTTTAACAAGAGATCCTGTCACAAAAAAAGCCCATGATGGACACTGGGTGATGGTGGCGCACACTGTTAATCCTAGCACTCAGGAGGCAGAGTCAGGAGGATCTTTGAGTTTGTGGTCAGCCTGGTCTACAGACTGAGTTCCAGGACAGCCAGAGCTACACAGAGAAGCTCTATCTTGAAAAAAACAAAGCAAAACAAAAAATCTTGATGGAGAATAAATTAACTAATTAAAAGATATGGAGGATGAAATCTGATGTTGACCTTTGGCCTCTACACTCACTCACACATACACACACACACCCTCCACACCACACACACACACACACACACACACACACACACGCATAAACAGAGTCACCTGGCATACAGGATCTCTGTTGAGGTTGGCCAAGTCTGTTCTGTGTTTCTTCTTTTTTTCTTAAACTTTATTTTATATGCATGGGTATTGTGTCTGCCTATATGTCTGTACAGCATATGTGTACCTGAAGAAGGTATTGGATCTCCTGGAACTGGAGCCACAGACAGTCATGAGCTGTTATGGGGGTGCTGGAATTGAACCCCAGGTCCTCTGGAAGAGCAGCCAGTACTCCCAACCACTGAGTCATCTCTCCAGCCCATGTATCTTCTTGTAGCTGTCTCGTTCTAAACAAGTGTTCTTTTCTTGTGACACTTTCTTGTCTTGGAAAGATTTATTTGTGTGTGTGTGTGTGTGTGTGTGTGTGTGTGTGTCCACAGAAACCAGAAGAAGACTTTGATCCATTGGAACTGGAATTACAGGCAGTTGTGGCTTTCTGCTGTGGGTGCTGGCAACTGAACTCTGGACCTCTGAAAGAACAGTATGTTTTTTTTTTTTTGTTTGTTTTTTTTTTTTTAGAGAGAGTGGCTTATTTTGCTGTTTAAAAAAAGCTAGCAGTGTTTGCCTAGTAGTTCAGGCCTGACATCCCAGCTACTTCAGCAGCTGAGGCAGGCAGATTGCAAGTTTAAAGCATGTGTTGGCTACAAAGTGAATTAAAACCTGGCCTGGGAACTTAGTGAGACCCTATTTCAAAACACAATGTGAGAAGAGAGCTGGAGATATGACCTGGCCGTAGGGCACCCACCTGCGTGAGGCCCTGGGTTCCAACCTTAAAACCACAAGAGGGAAGAGCCAACCAGGATGGGATAGTTCAAAGCACAGGGTGGATGCACTGGTTCCTGCGTGCAGGACCTTCTATAGCAGATGCTGTTCTCAGCAAGTTTCTGCCTCTGAATTATGGTGCTGTTGGTTTTGAGGTCAAGGTTTGTGAGTCCAATCCGTGGTTTAAATTAGTGTGCTTAGGTAGGAATGCAGGAGGCAAGGCTATTTGGTGATAAGGAAACCAAAGAGGTGGCAAAACACTCAAAGGGACCCAACTCTGTATCCCCAGAAGCCGTGGCGGAGCCTTCCCTAATTCAGGGTTCAGGTGGCTTCACAGAGCACAACTCACACACAGCGCATGCGTGAATGTGGAGCCAGGACGACAACCTTATTGTTTGGTGTGGGTGTGGAGCTCAATGACTAGATAGACATAGCAGGCTGGATGGCGAGAAGTCCCGGGACCCTTAGGTCTCTGACTCCCCAGCGTTGGGATTACAACTACATGCTACCAAATTTACAGAGACCCACCTGTTTCTGCCCCCTGCTGGGACTAACCATGTGTGATCACTCTTCACGGCTCTGCCTGGCTTTAAAAACAAAACAAACAAACACATGGGGACATTGGACTCAAGTCTTCACACTTGCATAGCAAGTGCTCCACTGAGCAATAGTCCCAACCCTTAAGAAAAAAAAAGGGGGGGGGAGGACTTATTTTAGTTTTAGGCAGAAAAGATGGCGAGATGGTGCAGGTGTCCCCACATCCGACTTAGGCTTCCCCCTCCATTTTTGAATGTGTCTTTATGTTCAGTTTTCATAAAGGGTGGCCAGGTGCTGTCAGAAGCAGGCACAGTAAGCGTACTCCGAGAACCCCCAGCATGACTCTGCTCCTAAGACGACAGTTAAGTTCTTGTGCGTCGTTTTGCCAGTTCCTGATGTCAACACTCCCCCTAAAAGCTGTCTCTTCTCTTTGCTGGGCTCCGCCCACTCGCAAAGATGGTCGCCCGCTGTACATCCTGCGCCTGGGCCAGATGGACACCAAAGGCCTGATGAAGGCAGTAGGCGAGGAGGCGCTGCTGCAGCACGTGAGTGGGTCCTTCGGTGGCGGAGGCCTGGGGGCGGAGCAACATACCCAGCTGTTCTCAGTACCGTGCCTACCTTCTAGGTTCTTTCTGTCAACGAGGAAGGACAGAAGAGATGCGAAGGGAACACGAGACAGTTTGGCCGTCCCATCAGGCAAGAACCCGAGTTGGGGACGAAATCCCCAAAGCAGGCTAGCTAACGCTGACTGCGCATGTGCGTGGCCAGGTAGCTGGCTAGGCGCTGTGGGACAGTGCCATCCCCTAATTCTTGCAATGACCTGCTGAGGCAGGACTCCTGCTGGTGGAGAAATCGTGACTCTGGCTGAGATAATTTGAACTGTTCCTGACTGGTTTCACCCTTAGCTCCTTCGCTTTTTAAGCTCCGATGGGACCTGACTCCTCTTAGGTCCCCGTCTTCCTCCCGCACATTTCCATTCCTGGGCTGAGTAACCTACAGGGACTGTGAAAGTGTCCCGTGTCCCTGCTTTCAGCCCTGCCTTCCTGAGCCCTTTGCTCCATTCCAGGTGTCTGCGGGGGGAGGAGGGGAAAGGCGGTGCTGGAGACCCTGGGAGGTGGCAGAGCCAGGCAGAGCCCCGAGGTCCCGTGTCTCTCACAGCTCCTGGACCTGCCTACTGGACCTCGAGGGCCTCAACATGCGGCATCTGTGGCGGCCGGGGGTGAAGGCCCTGCTGCGGATGATCGAGGTGGTGGAGGACAACTATCCCGAGACCCTGGGCCGGCTGCTCATCGTGCGTGCGCCCCGCGTATTCCCGGTGCTATGGACGCTGGTGAGATGATGAGCCAGTGGGGCCGCAGTGGGTGAATCCTCTCCCTGAATGATTGGGCAGAGATGACGCAGATCCAAGGTTGTCAGGCTCCTTATCTGGAGATGGACAAATAACTGGATTGTGGTGGGGTTTTATGACATGACGAATGGACCAAAAGCCTATGAATCATGCTTTTTTTTTTCTTTTTGGTTTTTCGAGACAAGGTTTTTCCGTGTATCCCTGGATGTCCTGGGACTCGCTTTGTAGACCAGGCTGGCCTTGAACTCACAGAGATCCACCCGCCTCTGCCTCCTGAGTGCTGGGATTAAAGGCATGGGCCACCGCCGCCCGAATCCCGCACTTTTTTAATTTTAAGTTTTTGGGCATAAGTGTTTATTCACATTCACGTGCGTGCACACGTGTGTCAGGTGCATGTGCACGTATGTACATTCGTGCAGCAGTCAAAGGTCGACCTTGGGTGTCCTTCCTCGGAGCGGCCCACCTAAGTTTTTGAGACAGGATCTCTCACCGAACATGGAGCTCACTCATTAGGTTAGGTTAGCCGGCCAAAGAGTCCCATGGATTCTGGATTCAGGCCAAGCCCAAGCACTGGGTGACAAATGGGTGCCACCAAACCCTGCTTTTTTTTTTTTTTTTTTTTTTTTTACGTGTGTGTTCTGGAGATCCAAATTCAATCCCTCATGCTTGTGTGAGAAGCACTTTGCTGATTGAACCATGTCCGCAGCCTGAATCATTCACTTTAAGAAGATAAAAACGACTAGCTGAAGTGGTGTACACCTTCAATCCCAGGAATCACAAAGCAGAGGCAGGAGGATTTCTGTGAGTTCTAGGCTAGTCAGAGTTTCAGGAAAGCTAGGTCTAATTCTGTGTCAAAAAAAAAAAATCAAGTCAGGAGCCTTTTCAAAACAAAGCAAAAAAACCAAAACCAAAAAATAAAGTAAAAACAAATAAACACAACCAAACCAGAAATAAAATGAAATAAAGCCAACCAGTAAAATGACCGATTCGATTTTCCGCTCTATGACTTTGGCCCCGCCCATAGGTCAGCCCCTTCATCAATGAGAACACCAGGCGGAAGTTCCTCATCTACAGCGGAAGCAATTACCAGGGCCCTGGCGGCCTGGTGGACTACCTGGACAAGGACGTGATCCCTGACTTCCTGGGAGGAGAGAGCGTGGTGAGTCTAGCTGTGGTCGTGGGTCCCAGAAAGGAGTGGGACAGGATCCTGGGAACCCAGACTTCTGGGGCCAGGAAGCTGATGGGCAGCATTGTAGGGGATCCCGCCCCCCTTCCTCTTGCCAAAGGGAGATGCTGGCTTTAAGTGGGGATAGGCCTGGCTGTAGAAGCTTCCCCAGAGAGGTGACATCTCTTGAGGTGGGGTCTTCCTTTGACTCTTTTAAAGGCAGTGAGGGCTGGAGAGGTGGTACAGCATTTAAGAGTACTTGCTGAGGCTGAAGAGATGGTTCATCAGCTAAGGGCACTGGCTGCATTTCCTCAGGACCTGAATTTATTCCCAGCACCTACATGGTGGCTCACACCAGCTGTAACTCCAGTGTCAGGCAATCTAGTGCCCTCTCCTGGCCTCCATAGGCATTGCATGCATGTGGTGCATAAACATGCTGACAAAAAACATCCATCATACACATAGAAATAAATGTTAAAATATTTCAAAAAGAGCACTTGCTATGCAATTTAAGGATCTCATACAGGAAGTCAGGAATTCACAAATGCACAAATCCAGGGCAGGCAGATGCAGGAGGACAGAGATGGCTTGTTTGTTTCTAGCCTTGCTAAGAGAATTGAGTCCTGCGTTCAGGGAGAGACCCTGTCTCAAATGAATAGACAGTGTGATGGGACCCCCCCCCCAATACCCTCTTTTGGCCTTTCCCCACATGTGTTCCATGTGCATAAATTCACACACACACACATTAAATAAATAAACATCTTTTTAAAGGTAGTAAGTGAGCCAGGCCCAACCCATGGCCCCTCCACCTGGGATGCTCAGGGAAAGCAGTGTCCGGACTCCCTTATGCCTCCCAGGAGGGCAAACCTGGTCGTGTTCTCATTCCCATGGCCGTCTGTGGGCACACTTGTTGGTCCCCCAGCACAAAATGCTGCACAGACGCTTGTCAGTGAAATGGTTTGCTTAGGAACTTTGTCTGACTTGATTGCACTGTTCTCGTGACACAGATGTACCATTTCTTTTGGGTGACCGACCTACGGCTCTCTCAAGGACTTACTGGAGGACAATGGGCAGCGACCACCCGCTATCCATCCTCCCTTTTTGTCTTCAAAGTGAAACAAGGAAACTTGTGTGTCTATGCTTGGGGTCTGAGGCTTGGCCTTCCAGGGCACCTTTGTCTGGGAGACATCTATGGAAACAGACAGGTCCACACTGGTCAGTTCCCACTGCTTAAGGAAAGATGCTGCCGCCACTTAGAATGTATTGCAGAAGAGGGAACCACACCTAGCCAGACACCATGAAAAGGGCCAGGAGGGGGTCTCTCTGTTTCTGTCTCTCTCTCTCTGTCCCTCTGTCTCTCTCTCTCTCTGTGTGTCTCTGTCTGTCTGTCTGTCTGTCTCTCTCTCTCTCTCTCTGTGTCTCTCTCTGTCTGTCTGTCTCTCTGTGTCTCTGTCTCTGTCTCTCTCTCTCGTTTTGTGGGGGGGGGCACACAAATACCACATCATGCATGTGGAATTTGAACAAAGGCCTACAAGAGTGCGTTCTGAAAAATGGAACTCATGCTCAGACTTGACGACAAGTGCCCTTAGGCACTGAACCATCTCACCAGACCCTGTTTGTTTTGCTTTTGAGAAGAGTCTCACTATTTAGTCCAGGATGGCTCAGAACTTGGGGCCCCCTTCCTGAATTCCGGAATTATAGGCATGAACCATCACACTTGACCCAAACATAGTTTTGTGCCCTGGTCAGTCATGTTCACCTTGTGTGATCTTGGGAGAGCAGCCTGTCCTCCTTTATGGCCCCATCTTCCCTCTTTCCTTAAATGAGAAGAGTGTGTTTTACCCTGCTATTGGTTCTGAGGGCTCCAGAGGGTGGTGTCACAGGATAGGGATCACTATTCTAAGCTGTTTCAGGGCTCACAGGGCACCGAATGAGGCAACCCTGACCTGCTAACCGTTTTAATCTTTGAAACCTCTCCTCAGTGTAACGTTCCAGAAGGAGGCCTGGTCCCCAAGTCCCTGTATCTGACCGAAGAGGAGCAGGAGCAGGCTGACCAGCTACGGCAGTGGAGTGAGACCTACCATGCAGCCAGTGTGTTCCGTGGGACCCCCCACGAGGTGCCACCTGATCTGTGAGGGCATGGGCGGGGTGGTGTCTTGGATCATGTTCCTTCAGATTGGTTGTGGGGTGATTCCAGTCTCTCAGTCTCTCAGCTCTGTCCAGGAAGCTTTGGGACATGGGATGGCTGCAGAATCCCTGGGTGCCCTTACAACCCTGGCACCTGCAGTTCACCCCAAGTGACCAGGCCTTTCAGGGAGAGGTGGGGTTCTGGAGGGAGGGAATAGTGTATGTGGGGGGGGGGGTCTTAGCAGCTCATCCTGACCACAGGGAGACTGATAGATGACCAGAGAAGAACACCCTGACCCTGGGCCTCTTCCACCTCTACTCCCCTTATGCAGGTTGCCATGGAGATTCCAGAAGGAGAGTCAGTCATCACCTGGGACTTTGACATCCTCCGAGGAGACGTGGTGTTCAGTCTGTATCATGTAAAGCAGGCACCCACGCTCGGTCCCCAGGAGCCTGGGGTTAGAGTCAGTGGGCAGCTGATCGACAAGAACTGGGTCCTAGGGGCAGATTACAGCCGTGTAGAGGCTCCCCTCATCTGCCGGGAAGGCCAGAGCATTCAGGTGCGTAGGCATGGGCTTTGGGTACTGACTCAGCATGGAGTATTAAGCATCTTTCCCAGGCCAGGTCTCTGGGGAGGCAGCTGTGGACAAAGAGGATGTGCTCCCAGCTTCTGAGACACTGCAGGGTGACTGGGGAGAGAGACCCACAGTGTCTGTGTAATAGGAGGTCCTTCTTCACTCCAGAGGGCTCCATGGAGGGTGGATGGGGCACTGAGCTAAGAGGCAGCTGGAGGCCAGGGAGAGGTCTTGGAGCCGCGGTTTCCCCACGAGGACAAGAAATCATTAAAGGGCCTAAGTGGCCTAAGTGAGGCTGGGGCCATAGCTCAATCAGTGAAGAGCTTGTCTTTCTTGTAAACACAAAGACCTGGGTTTGATCCTCAGAACCCATGTGGAAAAAAAGCCGAGTGTGGACACACACTAGGGCACAAGCACATGCATACACATGGCGGCCCCAAATGGTTACCACTGGTGCCATTTAAATCAAACAAAATTTCTTGTCTCTAAATTTAGAAGGCCACAGGTCCAAAGTCAAGGAGCCTGCAGGGGTTTCCTAAAGGCTCGAGGAAGGATTCTTTCTTGCCCCTTTGGTGGGTCCCTGGCTTGTCCACTTTGGCTCTGCCCTCCATGCCCCTGTTTTGTTCAGGTCCCCTCCCCTCTTTCCTGTAAGGATAGCAGTAGTTGTGTTTGGGATTGACCTTAAATCCTTAGCTGAAAAAAGGGAGAATCATCCAAATAAGGTCGTCTTTCTGAGGTTCTGGGTGGACATGGATTTGGGGAGACACTTTTCAACCCATGTAATTACCTCATGGTGAGTAAAGGATTGGGGCTTTGGAACCCCAAGTCCCACTTTCCCATATGAGTTCGTTGCATAAGAGGGCCTTCAGGGTGGTCAGGGCTAGAGAGGTGGAGGGGATGTCCGAGGTGGAAGGAATGGCAAGGACTACACTAGAGAAAGAAGCAGGAGATGCCATGGGCCTGGGATTGAGTTGTGGAGCCAGAGGAAGCCTGCAGAAGTGGAATGGTCCCTAGGTCAGCAGCCAGATCCAGCACCCCAAGACCCTGGCCTCAGAATCTTCCCAAACACCCCCACTACGAAGTTTTGAATGTAGGGCTGGGAGTCCACATCTCCTGCCTCCTATGATTCTGGCATGAAGGTTTCCATGGCAGCTGAGAATCCATGGGTCTAGGGTCAGAACGTGAATGTGTAATTGGGTTGTGAGCTACCATGCTCATTCCCACAATCTCCCCATGAGGCCACTGTTACAGGCAGTGTTATACCCCTGCACACACACATTCTCTCTCTCTCTCTCTCTCTCTCTCTCTCTCTCTCTCTCTCTCTCTCTCAGATGCACACATGTACACACACATTTACACATATACACATACATATACATTTACACATAAACACACACATGCACATATATACACACAGAGACACCCAGCCACCCAAAACACATAAACACTCACATAGACACATACACAGATACACTGACACACACAGACCCCCACACACATCCTCTCTCTCTCTCTCTCTCTCTCTCTCTCTCTCACACACACACACACACACACACACACACACACACACACACACACAGTGAGAGTCCTCTGTGGAGCCTTGCAGATCACAGCCAGCTCCCCACCATCCCACTGAACACCTCCACAGTGTTTCCTCAGAGCTGCCCCACCTCCAACCTTCCCACATCCCCCTCCATGTCCATCCACACATTCTCCCTAGCACCCCCTAGTGGCTTCTCAGAAGCCCTTGGATTGTAGAACTCATCAGCTGAGAGCGTCCCAGAAACCCATCTGCTGCCCTGAACCCAGACACCCTAATATCTCCTCCCCTACAGTAAGCAGGAAGCGCTGGTCCTTGAGATATGGCACTCACCACAGGAGGCTTTGGAAAGTGCTTATAGGATTTCCTGGGGTATTGGAAAGGACCAAATAGAAGGAGTCTCCTTTCCCAAGGCTGGCACAGAAAATCCATGAAGGCTCAACCTCCCATCCCGTCTCCAGGAGAACCCAGTTCCCCATCTTGTCCTCAGGAGGGTCCAGTGGAATGCAGCTCCCCAACCTGTCCCCACCTTGTTTCCAGGGGAACCCATTTTCTATCTCTTCCCCAGGAGAACCTGGGCTTACTGTGGGTTCTGTGTTTCAGGGTTCTCATGTGACTCAGTGGCCTGGCACCTACCTGCTCCAGTGGCAGATTCACAGCCCCTCTGAGAGTGTGGCCTGCAGCCTCCCCGGTGTGGATGATGTCCTGACAGCTCTGCACAGCCCTGGCCCCAAGAGCAAACTGCTGTACTACTGTGAAGTGCTGGCATCCCAAGACTTTAGGTAGGGGAGGCCTGGGACTCCCTCCTGCTCTGACGACATGGCTGCTTCTGTGATTGCTGACTGATGATGCAGTGGCTTGGGGTCGGCTTCTGTTGGGTGGACATCAGTAGCCCTCTCTCAAATGCTGACCCTTCACCCTCTGTAGAAGCAGACTCCTTTCAAGGATCTCAGTGCACCAGGCCTAGGGAAGACCCTTCACCCCTAGATTCCTCAGTTTGTAACTACTCTAAAATATTCTAGAATGATGTCTTGCAGATAACTGTCTACAGGTTGCTATTTTGGATGATTAAGATACCCCCCCCACACACACACACTGAGCTTCCCAGTTGCCTTGTGCTGCTAAAGGGGAAGCACTGAAGATGCCACCTGTAGATGCCACAGTAGGCACTCAGAAGTGGATGAAGCAGGCAGCCTGGATGTGGAGAATCTTCAATTTCTCCCCCCTTTTCACATTTAATTTTAATTTTTCACTAGTCTTGAGTCAGGGTCTCACGGAATATAGGTTGGCCTTGAGGTCACTACGTGGCTGAGAAAGACCTTGAACTCCTGATCCTCTTGCCTGCCAAGTGCTGGGATCACGTGTGTACACCTCTACACCTGGCTTTATGTGGTACTGGGAATCGAGCCCAGAGATTCGTGCACGCCAGGCAAGCACTTTGCCGATGGACTTGTGCCCATCCCCTTTAGTTTTACTTGTAGAGAATGAGTGTAGCTATATGTGGGCCAAGACAGGAGGATCCATGCTCCCGCCTTCAGTTCTTGAGTGCTGGGTTTGCAGATTTGTGCAACCATACTTAGTTGTTTTTTGTTTGTTTTGTTTCTTTTTGTTGTTGTTGGTTTTTCGAGACAGGGTTTCTTTGTGTAACAGTCCTGCCTGTCCTGGAACTCTTTTTGTAGACCAGGCTACCTCGAACTCACTGAGATCCGCCTGCCTCTGTCTCCTGAGTGCTGGGATTAATGTCGTGCACCACCACCGCCAAGCTCCGTACTTAGTTTTGACTGAAGAAAACCGGAGAGAACAAGCTTGGGACTGAGATTTCCCAGGCTGTGGGATTTTCTGCTCCATTCTAGTCAGCGTAGCTCCTGGCTGCAGTCGGCCTGACTGGTCCCTGGGAACAAGTTGCAGGGAGCTGGTTGCTCCTCTCTGCTTGTGCTGGCATCACTGAGTTTCCCCTCTGCATCCGTTAGCCCCTGGTGGTGGTTAGCAGTCTTGAGGAAGAAGCCCTGGGGCCTCATTTGCGGTATTAACAGCTTTTGCCTGGGAGATAACTTAAGGTGTACACACCCTTCTTCCCTAGGGGCTCCATGTCCAGCCTTGAATCCTGCACCAGCCGTTTCTCTCAGCTCAGCACCACCACCTCTTCCTCCTTCTCTGGCCAGTCCCACAGTGGCTCAGTGGTGTCCAGATAGCTGGCTGGGATCCTGCTGGCAGCCCAAGTGCCTCTAGTATCAGTGTCCAGGCTGAGAAGAGAGTCAGTCTAGACACCTGGGACCATGCTGGATACAGATGATGCCACAGCTGGGGTTTGGGGACCCCCCACAGCAGAGATCCACCTCTTTGCCTGTGAGCTGAGGGAGCCTTGCTTCTCCGCGCGCGTGAGTGGACAAGACAGACTTTCTTTTAAAAGCTGAGACCTCATGGATACTCCATCTCCTATGTCCTTGATCTGGAGTCTAGGGCTGGGACCAGGACTGGGCCCCTTCTCACCATTTACTGTGCTTCTAATAGGTTGGCCCTTTCCTCTGGGAGGGAGGCCTTTTCTACCATGGGATCATCACTGTTGGGCACCTCCGCTATCTCCCAGGAGAGTGCAAAGGAACATCCCTTCCCAAAGTTCCAGTCCACTCTCCTTAGCTTGCTGGGGCCCGGGTCCATTCTGAGCCAATCACAGTTGTCAGGAAGTGTGAAGGGCACTTGATTGCCAGCGTGGTCATATAGCCAATCTGGACCAATCACTGTGACTTGGGGGGGGGGGGAATAGAATACAGTGTAGTGATTGGCCAGCCTGGATTACAGACTAGTGCTGGGGCCAAGCACGTGGTCTGGAAAGGGCAAGGTGGGCTGAAGGACTACTGGGGATGGGTCGCCGGGAGATGGTGCCCTAGTGCCTGGTTGTTTTGCTGTTTGTGGCTGAGCACTGTCCAGGGAGCTGTGATGGGAGTCAGGGCTCCGCTTCTTGCAGGAAACAACCCACCATGGACGCAACTTACCCTGACTCAGGAACATAGAGAGTCTAGGGCTTCTGCCTAGTTCTAGGCAGTGATGGGGTGTTGGGAGTGACTCCAGCCTCTCTTGTTCCCCTCCAGAATCTCTTCTTCCTGAGGTGAGGCTCCTTTATGATATTAAAAAACAAACAAACAAAACAAAAAACTAAAACCCTGCCGGGTAGTGGTGATATACACTTTTAATCCCAGCACTCGGGAGGCAAGGCAGGCGGATCTCTATGAGTTCGAGGCCAGCCTGGTCTACAGAGCGAGTTCCAGGACAGGCTCCAAAGCTACACAGAGAAACCCTGTCTCAAAAAACCAACCAAACAAACAAAAACAAACAAAACAAAACAACAAAAACAAAATCTAAAACCCATTTTCTCTGAAGGAGGACTTAATTCAGATTGGGTCTGGTCTCAGCATGGTGCTGGGAATCCCCTGAGGGTGGCAGTGGTTGTCTCTGTCCTGGAGTTACTCTGACTCCGGAACTCCAAGATTGATACTACTTTCCCAGATCTTCCATGGGAGACTCGTGGGTCTTCTTGGAGACCAAGGACTTGTTCTTTTCATTTTCTGGATCCACAGAGGTTGAGGTCACTGCTTGGTGACCTCTTCTTAGTTGCTGCCTTTGTTTGGTATTTTTGTGTTTTGCCTACAGCGTGGCTTAAAACTTGAAGCATAGCAAACAGAAGTCAGGATTTCTGGTTTTCCTTAACCCACCCCTGTTTCCATTCCTACCAACCACTGCCCTGGGTTCCGCCCAGCGGAAGCTCTGTGCACAGTCTCAGGCCAGTCTAGCCCAGAAGTTCCTCATTGCTCTTCTGCCAGCCTAACTTCTACAGCTCCCCAGGCTAAGGGGTCAGGTGAGCAAGTATAGACTGCATGCTGGCACCTGCCCCAAATCCAGAGCAGTAGGAAAGGGATCGTTGAAGGGAGAACCTTCCATTGATGGAAAACCTGGCCAGAATTCCTCCTTGTTCTGCTCTTCAGGAATAGCAGTGAGACACGGGACTGCAGCATTTTGTGTGTGTGTGTGTGTGTGTGTGTGTGTGTGTGTGTGTGTATGTGTGTATGTGTGTCTAACTTCCAGTGAGACACTGAAAGCCAGTTGTCTCCAACTCACCAAGGGCAACTGGTGATCTTTTCAATGATCTTTATTATTTTGATTATCATTGTTGTTAATTATTTGCTGTCGTTGCAGTGCTGAGGCTCAAACCCAGGCCTTGTTCATGCTAGGCAATCACTCTGCCGTGGAGCCGCATGCTAGGCCCATCGCTGTGGTGACTGTTTTGTTTTTGGTTTTGGTTTTTTTTTGACTTGGTTTCTTGTGTCCTGGCCTTGAACTCTGCACAGGCTAAGGATGAGCTCAAACTCCTGGTCCTTCTGCATCTGCCTCTAAAGTTTTGGGATTACCTGTATGTGCCTCTACATGGATTGTTTGCAGTTCTGGGAGCTGAACTCAGAGCTTCATACCTGCTGGGCCAGTGCTCTACCGCCACACCTCCATCCCAGCCTCTCAGTGATCTTTAAATGAGCTCTACCTGACTCTCAAACCAAAGTGTTCCCCTAGACGTGCTTTGGGGAGAAACTGTCTGGCGGCCTTTGCACATTTCCCCTCCAGACAGTGAAGAACAGAGCGCGGCAGAGTTTTGAAAGGCTGTGCCTCTCCTGTCCCCCAACAAAGTCGTCAAACAAGAGGAACCCCTTGGTCCTTTATTTGGGGTGGTGGAAAGGGGTCTGACCACAGGTATGGCTAGATTCAGCAGAGCTCTCAGCTGCATGTAGGCCTCTTGACTCCTCATCTCTTTGCCCATTGGCCTCCTGTCCTCTCTCTCTGCTGACAGGCAGCTCCAAGCCTGTACTCACAGGGTTTTCAGTGTCTAAGAGAAAGATGGGTCCCTAACTACCAACTCCCAAAAGATTCTGACTGACCCTGCTCAAGTCATACACATACACAGACTAGCAGGGACTGGGGAATAAGAAGTCCTTCTGAAGGAAAGCTGGGTCCTAGCACCCTCAGATGGCTGTGGTGGCTTCCACTGTGTCCTCCTGCACTGGCACTCGGGAAAGCCAGCAATTAAAAATAGCCCGAGGGAGCTTGGGAGATGACTCAGCTGGCCAAAGGGCTGCTGTGCTAGCATGAAGACCTGAGCAGTCGTGGAAAAAACCAGATGCGGCGGTGCACACCTGCAGTCCCAGTGCTGAGTGGAAACAGGAGGATGTCTGGCACTCAATAGCGGGATTGGTGAGCTCCAGGCTCAAGGAGAGACCCTATCTCAAAGAGTAAGGTGGGGCGCAAATGTTGAAGACACCTGATATCAATCTTTGGCCTCCACATGTGCAGACACCTGGATCACACATGCACAAAAGATGCCATCTTCAGCCTCTACATATGCACACATATACATTATACACATGCGTAGAAGGCACCTGACATCAATCTCCGGCTTTCACATGTGCACACGCATCACACACATGCACAAAATGTCCCCCAGGAGGGCCTGCCAAGCTTGTGCCCTTTCCCTTATCCCAGGATAGACAACACATGGTGTGGGTTTCTTCCTCCACTTTGTTCATTATCCTCCTGTGGCCAGATCAGAGCGATCTACACCAATATGACTTCTTGAAACCCCAGACTTTCTTTCACTTGCTGTGAAACCCTGTGCAGGTGACTTGACTTCTCTGTGTCCCAGTTACCTCATCTGTAAGATGGGGATGGCAGTGCCTACTTCACCAAGTCACAGCGGGACAGAGGACGTGACTGGCAAGGCCTCCACACACAGTACGCACTTGGTGAGTCCAGTCCTGGCACACTCAGGGAGAGAACTGTTGGGATCCGGGGAATTGAAGAAGTGGCTGTGTTTCTATCCTGGAATCCCTGGACATTTCCCTTAACTCTGAAAAGCTAGCCAGTCAGCAACAACATCTTCCTGTTAGTGAGAAACAGGATGTTTGCTTGATCCTAGGATTTGACAGATGCATTAAACATTTTATGTTTGAATATCATCTGCTGTCAGCTTCTTAGACCCCTGGTGCCTGTCCTGGGCCAATTTCAGAATTTCTTAGCTCTAACCACAGGTGGTGGGGCACACCTGTAATCCCAGCTCTTGTGGGGTGGAGGCAGGAGCATTTCCACACATTTGAGGCCAGCCTGGTCTGTGTAGCGAGTGCCAGGCCAGCTTGGGCTGCAAGGTGAGAGACCCTGTTTCAAAAAACAAAACCCCAGACTCAGACCATTTCTCAGCTGATTTTTCTGAGGGTCTAGACACAGCTGATCAAAAGTGCAAGGCCCCGCCCAGGGCTTGGCCTTTCCTGCTCACAGCTAAGAGCTGGGTGCTGGTTACTGTGTGGAACATCATGGAGCTGGGACGTTCCTCTGTGTGATGTCTTAGAACTCAGCGACAGCATCCCAGCAAGGAGGACAGTGTTCACCTGCTACCCAGCCTCCCAGCAAGGAGGACGGTGCTCACCTGCTACCCAGCCTCCCACCAAGGAGGACGGTGCTCACCTGCTACCAGTGTGTGCATCCAGCCACTTATTCATCGCTCATTTCCTGCTCACTCATTCATTCTCCCGTGGATTTCTCTGCAGCCACAGAGACAGGTGCACCAGAGGAAGACAACCCTCAAGAGGGCACAGGCTGGGCTCAGGGCTGAGCTGCTGGCCCTGCTGACGTCTACCTCAGCCCTCCCCTGAGGCCTCCTCTGGGAGTCTGGGTAAGAGAGAGCAAAACCTGCACCAGTCTCCCTGTGGCCCAGAGCTACTCCTGGGGAGCTACCTCTGGACATCAGGGCACCATCTTGGCAGAAGCAGCCACTGTGGGAGTTTGAGCAGGGCCTTGGTGGCAGGAGCCACAGCTGCTAGGAGGTGAGGGGGTTGACAGGGAGACAGAGGTAGCCAAGGCTGGGTATTCCTCGCCTGTTCCGGATCCTGCAGGACCTACCAAGATGTTGCCCAGGAAACATCATGTGAAACCCTTGAGCTCTTTCCTGAATTCCAGATTTTTCCCAAGATACGATCTCCTTTGAGAATCTAATATGAGCCATGGACACATGCACATGGGTTTAATTTCTATACCAGGCTTTTAAATATAGAAAGTGGTCTTGGGCAGTGCCAATGTCCTCTTGATACAGGATACCAGCACTTTCTGGGGCCACCTCCTACGTAAACCACTTGCCTAGATCCTGCAGGGGTGGGTCAGCTACACAGGACTGTCATGAGAAGAAACGGACCTGAGCCAAGCCTGGGGCTACACAACTATAATCCTAGCTCTCGGGAAGCTGAGGAAGAGGATTGTGAGTTTGAAGACAGCCTGGGCTATATATGAGGACATTGTCTCAAAAACTAACAAACAAAAAGTCGGGCTTAGTAGTTCACCAAGAAGGAGGAGCCTTGCGAATTCAATTACAGCCTGGGCTGCATTGCTATTTCTAGTCCACCCAGAACAAAACAGGCCCACAGACACCACAGACAGGCTTACCCTTTCCTCTCCCTTGCAAAACCATTAGATTACATTCCTAAAGCTAGTCCCCAGGGTCTGTTCTTTTATTTGGCCACTGACGCGTTCAGGTCCAGCCATCAAAATTCATTATTTGATTACATTGCTCATCTGCCCAATCAGGTCTTACCAACTCACCCTAGCACAGACTTCCCCCTTTCTCCTTAAAAACCAACTCTGACAGACAACCCCTGCTGCCTGCTGTCTGCCTTTGCCCAATCCAGAGGCAGCTCATCCCTTGCTTGTCCTACTGGGGTAATATATCTCCTTTGTGCTGAGAATTTGATGTCTGGATGCGTCCTGTATCGACCCTGAGGGGTCCTCCAACCCTTACACAGACCTTGTCTCAACAAAACAAAATTTAAAAGGGGAACTAGATACTGGGTAGAAAAAGACAGAACTCTTTGACAAATTAAAATATATTCTGCATGCCACAGGGCAGTCACATGGCTTAGTTTATTCAAGTCATTTTGTTATAATGTAATAAAATGACAGGCAGCAGCCTTGGCAGGTTGGAGCCAAGGGGCCCCACTGATGCCCCATGCAGACAGCTCACCTGGAGAGTTTTATTGGGGTGGGGGGAGAAATGAGAGAGAAAGGGAGCATAGAGCAGCTTTGTGGGAAGAGAGAGGAGAGAGGGGAGAGGGGGGGGAGAGAGAGAGAGAGAGAGAAGAGAGAGAGAAGAGAGAGAGAGAGAGAGAGAGAGAGAGAGAGAGAGAGAGGCGGCTGGGGAGAGGGGAAGAGAGAG